TTTTTATTTTTATTTTTATTTTTTGAGACGGAGTTTCGCTCTTGTTACCCAGGCTGGAGTGCAATGGCGCGATCTCGGCTCACCGCAACCTCCGCCTCCTGGGCTCAGGCAATTCTCCTGCCTCAGCCTCCTAAGTAGCTGGGATTACAGGCACGCACCACCATGCCCAGCTAACTTTTTGTATTTTTAGTAGAGACGGGGTTTCACCTTGTTGACCAGCATGGTCTCGATCTCTCGACCTCGTGATCCACCCGCCTCGGCCTCCCAAAGTGCTGGGGTTACAGGCTTGAGCCACCGCGCCCGGCCAATTATTATTTTTAATAATCATATTAATTGATTGTATAGCAGGGGACCTGAGAACCACTCTTGAGAAACACAGAACTATTTTAAAAAATTAAAAAGGGGCCAGCACGGTGGTTCACCCTGTAATCCTACCACTTTCAGAGGCCAAGGTAGGAGGTTTGCTTGAGGCCTGGAGTTCGAGACCCACCTGGGCAACATAGCAAGACCTCATCTCTACTAAAAATTAAATAAATTAGTCGGATGTGGTGGTGTGTGCCTGTAGTCTCAGCTTCAGGAGGCCGAAGCAGGAGGATCGTTTGTGTCCAGGAGTTCAAGGCTGCAGTGAGCTGTGATTGCTCCACTGCACTCCTGCCTGAGTGACAGAGTGAGACTCTCAGTCAATCAATCAACCAATCAATCAAGAAGGATCCTCTTGAAAGTGAGTACCCATGCCAGGCGCGGTGGCTCAAGCTTGTAATCCCAGCACTTTGGGAGGCCGAGGCACGTGGATCATGAGGTCGAGAGATCGAGACCATCCTGGTCAACATGGTGAAACCCCGTCTCTACTAAAAATACAAAACATTAGCTGGGCGTGGTGGCACGTGCCTGTAATCCCAGCTACTCAGGAGGCTGAGGCAGGAGAATTGCCTGAACCCAGGAGGCGGAGGTTGCGGTGAGCCGAGATCGCGCCATTGCACTCCAGCCTGGGTAACAAGAGCGAAACTCCGTCTCAAAAAAAAAAAAAAGTGAGTACCCAGTCAGGCCAAAACCTCATGTTCTGACTCTTAGCTAGAGTGATAATGAAATGGCAGGAACAACAATTGCAGAATGGAGAATGGAGCAAAATGAGGCTGGTCCTCATATACTTTGTGATAGCGCTTGTACGTTATTCATAAGTTCATAGACGCCCATCAAAAGGCACTGAAGCAGAAGATGGCATGATGAGGTTTATGTCTGAGATAGATGATTCTGAAAGTGAAATTTGGGGTTGGAGGCAAGGGAGGAGCCTGGAGGCAGTATGTCTGGGAGCTCAGGTGGGTATAATGCTGCTCCTTTTCCAACCAAGAAAGTATCTCCAGAAAACATCAGGATTATTCATATCAGTGACTCACAATGATTTGAACATTATAAATCCTGCCTTCTTTGGAGTTCAAACTGGAACTCAAGCTTGTAATAAAATACTCTACCCCAACCGCACCCCCTCATTTATACACACATGTAGTGCAGAGTACCTGGCAGCCATCCTCCCTAGGTTTTCAGCAGCAGGCTCTGCAAGGAGAACTCCTGTAAACTCTGCAGTCACCAAAGAAAAACTGGACTGTTCTCTGTAGCACCAGCAGCTGAGAAGGGGGTCCATCAAGCATCTCACCTGGTGATCCTGTAGATTTTGAGGTAGGTTTTTAGGAACTGGCAGCTTTGAAGTGTTTGACCTAACAAATACTGAAATAAACTTCAATTCTGCTTATCATGCCCCTAGCTAGAATGGGAGGAGCTGCCACAGTGGTGGGAGAGGCCAGAGGAGGAGAGGTGATCTAGGGTGCTGCTCTCCGTGACTCTCTACCTAGAATCCTGATGCCATTCTGACACCATTAAATTATCAGTGCCAGGGAAAGCAACTATATGAGTATTTTCTCCAGTACCTGAGGAGTGGGTATGAATGATTTCATGAGAAAGGAATTCATTCCTGGGGGCCCCTCTGCCAGGAGCAGTTCCTACTTGTGTACTCAGTCAAGTCTTATGTATCACCTACATTTCTAATCTTTTAGCTGAAAATATACAAAATAAAAATAACGAAACAGCTCTTCCTTCTGTTAAAGTTTTTGAGATTGCAGAACCACAGGATATTGTCTTAAGACTGTTTAGAGGTAGAAGGAACCTACTCCAGTGGATCTCAGACTTGGTTTAGTATGAGATCTTTTTAAACAGAATCTTATGGAGAAGTCCAATTCCTTTGTGAACAGAAAGCAGAGCTGCTTTTGTTGTAGGGGTGTCCTGGCTGGGCAATGATTCTCCTGTTTGTCAGCCTCAAACACAGGATTAGTGAATCACTTTTTTGAACCCCTAGCACGAAGAAGAGCTAAGTCTGAAAGTCATGATTAAATGAATTCCTCCATTTTACAGAGGACAAAAAATGAGCCCAAGAGGGTTAACAATTATTTTAGTAGAGTGGAAGACCCATAGGGAGGGTACATAGACATAAGCTGAAGGTCACTCGTTCAAATTAATGGTAGAGGATAGAGATTGGAAAGGACTTTTTAAGGGTTTCTTCGGCATTGGATCAACGAGTCAGAAAGAACAAAACAAATTAGAGCACGTAAGGGATGAGAAGGTTTAATTTAGATCCAGAGAAGGATTTCCAATGGAAATGGATACAAAACTGTGTAACTTGAACAGAGTCCAGTCTCTGGCCTGGACTCTGTTCAGTGTAGCAAAGTTGCTTATCTGTCTAGAGAGAATGAAAAACTAGTTTTAATTACAGCCCCATATTCAGGTGGAGACTGTCAGCCAGCCACTGGTCGTCATCATCATCCCTGGCGTTATCAAACGTCCGTGAACGTCTTTACAAGTTAGACACAAAGGCACTTTTCCTTCTGCACAGAGTTTTTGCAGATCCGTAGTTTACACAGACAACAACATGGTGATTTTCTGATGACTCGTGGGAGGAGCATTACCAGTTCCAAACTTTCTCTTTCCTCTCTGTGTTGACAGTTAAACTCAAAACTTACCTGGTCCAGTAAATGTCTACCCACCTGATTCTACTTGCCATTGTAGCAACTTTTATTCTTAATTTACTTTGTTGAACCTCTGTTCCTCACCTGTAACATAAGAATAAGAAAATTTCTTACTGTTTTTGTATGAGAAAAAGAGAACAAGATATGTTAGCGGTTTTAGCACAGTGTCTGACACTTAAAACTTTTGGTTTCTCGTCTGATGTGAATCTCTGATAGATTTAGTAATTTGACTCAGTCAAATATTCTATAAAAATAAGAAATTTTCTTAATATTTCTATCTTATAGGTGAGAAACAGAGGTTCAGCAAAGTAGATTAAGAATAAAAGTTGCTATAGTGGCAGGTGGAGTCAGGTGGGTAGACATTTCCTGACCTTGTAAGTTTTGAGTTTAATTTTCAACACAGAGGGTGAACACAAAAATTTGGAACTGGGTAATGTTCTTCCCATGAATCATCAGAAAATCACCACGTTGTTGTCTGTCTAAACTATGATCTGCAAAGAATTTGAAATAGATCAAATTTTTCTTTATCTTCCCATCTTTTCTTTTAGAATCCACTCTAATTTCTAGGGCCCTGTTACTTTTTGTTTAATCTGTTACCCCTTTTGTATCTTTTATTCTGGAATAATAATAAAGTTAACTAATGATGTTAAGAAAGTGGAGACTAAAGTTGATACCCGTATTTAACATTGTAGTTTAGTTTCAAAGTTTTTAGAATTTCTTTTCTCTTCTTATTTATTTGTTTATTTTTGAAACAAGGTCTTACTCTGTCACCTAGGCTTTAGTGCAGGGGGGCAATCTGGGCTCAATGCAACCTCCACCTCCTGGGTTCAAGCGATTCTCCTGCCTCAGCTTCCCAGGTAGCTGAGATTACAGGAGCTCACTACCACGCTAGGCTAATTTTGTACTTTTAGTAGAGATGGGGTTTCTCCAGGTTGGCCAGGGTGGTCTCAAATGCCTAACCTCAGGAGTTCACCAGCCTTGACCTCCCAAAGTGTTGGGATTACAGGCATGAGCCATGGTGCTCAGCCAACATTCTCATTTCTAATGTTTCTTTCATCTTTAGGTGGTTAGAAAACATCTTTCAGCTATGGTTAATAAGTTCTATAGCTTTGACCAAGGGTAAGTATCTCTGAAGATAAACATATGGTCAATCCAGATGAGCTAAAATTTACCCATGTTATTCAAGGGGAAATTTTAGAACTGAAAAATTCAGTATCTAAAATAAAAAGTCTGAAGATCCACTTACCAACAGATTCAAGATTTCAAAAGAAATCTGGAGATTGAGGTTCTTGAGATTGAGGACAAATCAATAGAATTTATTCAATCTGAATAATAAGATAGAGAAGAAACAATGATTGAGACAAGAATGGACAGAGCCTCAATGACATGTCGGACAATATCAAGAGATCTCTATATCTTTGTAGTTACAGAGAGAGAGAGAGAAAGAGAGTGAGAGAGAGGAAGGAGAGGAAATGGAACAGAGAAAACATTGGAAAAGATAATGGCCCCAATTCCTCCAAATTTGGTGGAAAACATCAGTTTACAAATATAAGAAGTTCAGCAAACACCAAGAAGAATGAATACAAAGAAAATCACACCTTGGAATATCGTAGTCAACCTCATGACCACCAAAGATAAAGAAAAAAGCTTGGAAGCAACCAAAGATGAAGGATACATTCATACAAAAGGAAAAACAATATGCACAATGGCTGACTTTTTTTTTTTTAAGTTTCAATATTTTATTCAAGTTTTTTTAAGTGATGTTAATTACAGCATTTGAAGGGGAGGATCTAATTCCACACAAAATTGAAGACTCTAAAATGTACCCATTAAACTGCTAAAAAGCAAATTGAGTGGTGAGACTACAACAGAAATCTAGTTTAGATTCTGAGTGTTGTACCATGTGATTACAATCACACAGACTTTTCTGAGCTTATAGCTGGAGCTCCTGGAAGCTATTTCGTACTCTGGTACAAGGACAAAAAAACACAACACAAAAAGGAATAAGTCCTGAATTATTGGCTTCATCACATCTACCCTCTCCACCCCAAAATGGCACAAAAGAAACAGTGACCACACCCTGCAGACCTTTCAGTGTAAAAGAGGTGACGATGCACTGGGGTGGGAACAGGTCATGAAGATCTATCTAAAAAAGTCCCATTCAGGTGAGTTTGTACACACCATCTAGCAGCGAGCCTCTCATCAATTAGGGTTGGGAAAGCAAGGTTCGATTCTCAGGTTCATTCATTTACTCAATATGAATTTACAAAGTGCCTACATATTATCAGCTTCCACTTGCAGCCATTTCTAGATAAAAAAGAAACCTGGCATCTCAAAGGGGCCACCAGGTTCCCCCTGAGTCTACCACTGAAAGGATCTTTTTTGGAAATGGGTTTCTTCTGTACCTCTGAAAGGGTAACATCTTAAAGTTGAATCATCTTTAACCTGGAGGTCTAAAATATTTAGCAATACTTGCATCCCGAACATATAACATTAAGATATACACTAAATTCTGAAGGTAGCTATGCTGCAAAATAGTTTACAATTAAACAATTGTACAGTATTCATTTATGCTTGAAATTCCAGTCCTGGACCAAGCCTGCGGCCACCAGCATTGATTCCCTTGCCATCCAGAAGAGCTGACAGTGTCAGTTTGATACCTGGCTTTACAGTCTGAGTGTCTCCTAAATCTATCAGGCTGGAGTTGCTCACTTTAGCCGAGAAGCAGGCGTCAGGGTCAATGTGATACTTGGCTGCTATTCCGAAGCGCGTGCTACTGTTTCCTGCAGGCGAGACTGACAGCGGTCTCCAACTTCTTGTTCACCTTCTGCTAAATGGAGCCGCCAAACTCTGTCCCGTCATTCACATTAATAGGAAGCTGGAATTCATCGGTCTTGTAGCCAACTGCAAAGTTGCTCTGCGTCACTCAGGACTTTGCAGTCTCAAAATTCATCTGGTAACCAGCTCTCGTAACCCAGCACCCGAGCACCCCGGATGGCAGGCCCTGCAATGTCGAAATCCACTTCACAGCCCAGGTTACTGTGCCCCCGCCTGTACCCTGTCTTGATTTTAGCATTTTTTCCCCAGTGTTAGGTGAGAAGGATGAATAGGTCAGAGTCCACGTGCAAGCTGATCTTCCACAGTACTCTCGGTGCCTAGTGTGTTATTGTCGGTGTTCGGTTCCTCCGCAAACGTCAGGCCGTCCTCAGTCCGTCTGCACTCGGTTTCCAGACTCCCCGTCACTTTGGTGATCTCAGTGTTGGCTGACACTGAGCTTGTAAATGCCAATCCATTCTCTGATTTTGTTTTCAAGTCAAGCTTTATTAAGCCAAATCCATAGCCCTTGGTGAAGACATCCCTGGCAGATTTGCCAAGATTGGCATATGTGGGTGGCACAGCCACCTTCTACTCTGAGGCGGTGGTGGTGGGCTCGGCAGTGGCTATGGTGGAATGGCTGACTTTTGATGGAGGCCAGAAGGCAAGGGAATGACACACCCAGAGTCCTAAGAGAAAAGCAAATGTATCAACCCAGAATTCTATATCCAGTGAAAATATTCCTCAAAAATGAAGGTAAAATGAAGACTTTTTTTCTGATTTAAAAAAGTTGAAGGAACAAATCACTTTCATACTATAAAAAATGACTTTTTCATAATTTTTCTGAAAAACAACCAAATGCTTAAAGCTAAAATAACAAAAATGTGTGACCGATTTCATATGTGTGTATATACATGTTATGTGTGTGTGTATATATATATATTTATATATATATATATATATATATATATAATGACTGCACAGTATCACAAAGGATAAGGGAGGAGGCATACTGGATTATTCTGTTGTAAAGTTTTTAACTGTATATAAAGAAATACAATACTAATTCTAAGGAGACTGATAATTTAAGGATTAATACTGTAATCACTAGAACAACCACTTTAAAATACAAAGAGGTGCAGCTAAATACGTAGTAGAGAAATGAAGATAGAATACTAAAAACAATGTAATTAATTCAAAGAAGGAATAGAGAAGTAAAAACATGGAAGTAACAGAAAATAAATTGCAGGATGACCCTTCCCAATCATTTTAAACAGGAGAAGGGAACAGCTGTCTTTTCGGAAACCCCTAATCATTCTCACAGAATTTTTTACGTTATACCCCGCATGATAGTTATTTGTTTACTATTTTTTTCCTCCTACTAGATTAAAATTTCTTGAGGATTGGTACAGTGATAAAACAGAAGAGATTGAAACTATGCAGATCTTCAAATTCACTAGCAATGCAGTTTAAGGATCTTCTAGAAGTCTTGTTTGCTCCTATTTGGATTTAAAAAAAAAAAAAGTAGCCAAGACTAGGCTCAAGCAATTTTACAAGTCCTTTTCATATTCCAAGTTAATGTTTTGCCTCTTAACCTATTGAACTAATCATTTTCACACAGTGCCAACTGATCAAGAGGTCACCATAGGGTCAATTCTAATTGATAGATCGTGAAGCCACATCACCCTCGGCAGTGAAGTGTGTCACAGTTGACTTAAATGTCAGCCATGGGTATGGTATGGAAGTGGGAAGCGACAGCCTGACTGGTGTACATGATGATCTCGATTTCAGTTGTAATGATGCTAATGTTTACTGTGACCAAAATTCCGGAATAATTCTATAAGTAAGTGCTTAGTTATCAGACATGTGTTCAAATTTGGGATTCAGGAAACAGGTGATCATACTTAGGACAATAGTATTTACTTGAATTAGCATGAAGGTTCCTAAAAACACTCTTCTTCAGAAGTTTATCAGTATTACAGTATCCATAATTATTCTTCAAATGATGACACAAAACTTGCTAATTTTGGTCCAAGAGTAAGTGAACTCACTCTATTTTTACTATGATAGTTCTAGTAAGTGCCACCTAGAGAATTGGTTTGTAAACACTTTGGAAAAAATAATGTTTTTATTTGTAGCCTTGATAACCTATGTATAGATATATTGAATGTTTTATCAGTAGAAGTTCTTGTTTAGTCCCTTAATTTTCATACCATATTTTAAAAATCAAAAGAAATGAATTTGCTATTGACTACATTAAAATGTTTGGAATGAATTGATCCTCCCTAAAGCTTACTAAGATGAAAAACTAACTCTAAAGTCATAACCAAATGTTTAACAGTGTGAGAAAATCAGAATACCCAGAAATAAAACCAGAAAATTAGTATTCATTTCATTCACACTCAAATATCCTTTTACTCAGTGTCCAGTTCCATTACATTTTTCAAAAATTCTACCACAGAAGCAGCCAGTAACTCTATCAATGTTCATTTTCAGGCTTCTAATCAGATGAGTATTAAGAAATCATTTTCTAATTCCATTTTAAAAATAAAGCAAATGATTTTCCTTGAAATTTAATTTTCTCTTGAGAGTCTTCTCTTGAGAGTCTGATTTTTAAAACCTTACAAACGTGTAATTCAACGTTCAAAATATTAAATCGTCTCAATGTTAAAAGAAGAAAGGGATTACTAAAAACAACATGAATATTCACTTTTTTTCTTTTAACATTACAAGTCTCACTTTCTTTGAACTCCTTTTGTACTTACAATTAACAGTTTATAATTTACTTTTTACATTTAACAGGTTTATTAACAATTATATGAAGATATAATTCACATACTATACAATTCCCCCATGTAAAATGTGTAAATACCTGTTAAGTCCATTTGTTTTATGGTACAGTTTAAGTCCATTGTTTCTTTGTTGACTTTCTGTCTTGATGACCTGTCTAGTGCTGTCAGTGGAGTATTGAAGTCCCCCACTATTATTGTGTTGCTATCTCATTTCTTAGGTCTAGTAGTAACTGTTTTATAAAATTGGGAGCTCCAGTGTTTGGTGCATATGTATTTAGGATTTTGATATTTTCCTGTTGGACTACTCCTTTTATCATTACATGATGTCCCTCTTCATCTTTTTGTCTGCGGTTGCTTTAAAGTTTGTTTTGTCTGTTATAAGAACAGCTACTTCTGCTTGCTTTTGGTGTCCATTTACATGGAATATCTTTTTCCACCCCTTAAGTTTATGTGAGTCCTTATGTGTTAGGTGAGTCTCTTGAAGATGGCAAATACTTGGTTGGTGAATTCTTATCCATTCTGCCATTCTGTATCTTTCAAGTGGAGCATTTAGGCCAGTTAGTAATTCATTCGATTTTAGTATTGAGATGCAAGGTAGTATCCAATTCATTGTGTTATTTGTTGCCTGAATACCTGGTTGTCGTTGTTTGTTTCATTGTGGTTTTGTTTTCTAGGTCCTTTGAGATTTATGCTTTAAGAAGGTTCTATTTTGGTGTGTTTGAAGGATTTGTTTCAAGATTTGGAGCTCCTTTTAGCATTTTTTGTATTGTTGGCTTGGTGATGATGAATTCTCTCAGTATTTGTTTATCTGAAAAAGACTGTATCTTTCCTTTATTTATAAAGATTAGTTTCACTGGATACAAAATTCTTGGCTGATAATTGTTTTGTTTAAGGAGGCTAAAAATACGACCCCAATCCCTTCTTATTTGTACGGTTTCTGTGAAGAAATTAGCTGTTAATCTGACAGGTTTTCCTTTATAGGTTATCTGATGCTTTTGCCTCACAGCTCTTAAGATTATTTTCTTTGTCTTGACTTTAGATAACCTGATGGCTATGTGCCTAGGTGATGATCTTTCTGCAATGAATTTCCCAGGCGTTTATTGAGCTTCTTGTATTTGGGATGTCTAGATTTCTACCAAGGCCAGGGAAGTCTTCATCAAATATTCCCTAAAAGAAGTTTTCCAAACTTTTAGATTTCTATTCTTTTTTGAAAACACAAATTATTCTTAGATTTGGTCATTTAATGTAGTCTCAAACTTATTGGAGGCTTTGTTCATTTTTCAGATTCTTTTTTCTTTGTCTTTGTTGGAGTGGGTTGATTCAAAAGCCTTGTCTTCCAGATTTGAACTATTTTCTTCTGCTTGTTCAATTTCAGTGCTGAGACTTTCCAGTGTATTTTGCATTTTTCTAAGTGTGTCCTTCATTTCCAGAAGTTGTAATTGTTTTTTATTTATCCCATCTGCTTCTCTGGAAAATTTTCCATCCATGTCCTACAACATTTTTAAGATTTCTTTAAGATGGTATTCACCTTTCTCTGGTGCCTCCTTGAGTTGCTTAATAATCAGCCTTCTGGACGGGACAGTGGTGACTTATGCCTGTAATCCCAGCACTTTGGGAGGCTAAGGTGGGTGGATCACCTGAAGTCAGAAGTGAGACCAGCCTGGCCAACAAGGCAAAACCTCGTCTCTACTAAAAACAAAATAATTAGCTGAGCACTGTGGCATGTGCCTGTAATCCCAGCTGCTCAGGAGGCTGAGGCAGGATGATCACTTGAAGCCAGGAGGAAGAAGTTGAACTGAGCCAAGATCATACCACTTCACTCCAGCTTTGGTGGAGTGAGATGGAGCAAGACTCCATCTCTCAACAACAAAAAAAATCAGCCTTCTGAATTCTTTTCCTGGCAATTCAGAGATTTCCTCTTGGTTTGGATTCATTGCTGGTGAGGTGGTATGATCTTTTAGGGGTGATTAAAAAAAAACCTTGTTTGGCCGGGCATGGTGGCTTATGCCTGTAATCCCAGCACTTTGGGAGGGCAAGGCGGGTGGATTGCTTAAGGTCAGGAGTTCAAAAACCAGCCTGGCCAACATGGTGAAATCCCGTCAAACCCGTCTCCTAAAAAAACAAACAAACAAACAAACAAACAAACAAAAAACCTTGTTTTTTCATGTTACCAGAATTGTTTTTCTGGTTCTTCCTTATTTGGGTAGACTATGTCAGAGGGTAGATCTGGGGCTCAAGGGCTGCTGTTCGGATTCTTTTGTCCCACAGGGTGATCCCTTGGTATGGTGCTGTCCCCTTCCCCTAGGGATGGGCTTCCTGAGAACCTAATTGCACTGATTGTTATTTCCCTTCTGGGTCTTTCCACCCAGTGGAGCATCCAAGTTCTGGGCTGGTACTAAGGAGTGTCTGCAAAGGTGCCGTGATGTGATCTGTCTTCAGGTCTTTCAGTGGCAATAGTATAGGGAGTATACAGGTTTGCCGTAGGGTTGTCTGGATAATGTGTTAGTTGGCCTCCAGCCAGGAGGTGGCACTTTCAAGAGAGCATCAGCTATAGGTAGGATAGGGAAGGAGGATACAGACTTCCCTAGTGTCACCTGGATGAGGATTTGGGTTTCTCAGGTGGTGGGTGGGGCCAGGGAGCTCCGGGAGAGTATGTACTTTATCTCTGGTTACTAGGGTAGACTGAGAAAGACCAGCAGGTGGGGGCAGGGTTAGGTATGTCTGAGCTCAGTCTCTTCTTGGGTAGGGCTTGCTGCAGCTGCTATGGGGGATGAGGGTGTGGTTTTCAGTCCATTGGAGTTATGCTTCCAGGGGGATTAGGGCTGCCTGTGCTGTATTGTGCAGTTCACCAGGAAGTGGGGGAAAGCCGGTGGTTGCAGGCCTCACCCAGTTCCCACACAATCCAAAAGGCCAGTCTTACTCCCACCTGCCCCCGCAATAGCACCAAGCTTATAACCAGGCAGCCGGTGAGCAGGGCTGAGAACTTGTCCCAGGCTACAGGCCTTCCTGCTGACAACGCAAGCAGGGCTTTCTGCCCTCTCGGTTCGTCCCTTCCTCCGGGTTCTGTCCCAGAAACTTCACATTTGGTTGAAATTGTTACAGAGTTCATCTGGAAGTTTCCTCCTCCCTGCGGTCTTTTCCCAGTTTCACAGGCAGCCCTCCCTAAGGATTCCCTGTGAGCAAAGTCAGAAATGGCTTTCCTGGGGACCAAGAGTGCTCACAGGGCTCTTCCCGCTGCTTAGAGCTAGAGACCCCAGCACTCCACTCGGCTCTCTAAATTTGTCTCAGCTCCAGGTAAAGTCAAATACTTCTCCATGATTTGGGTCTTCCGGTTTCCCGGTGAGAACGTGTGTTTGGGGGCAGACGATCCCCCTTTCACACTTTCGGCACTCACAGTGTCTCAGCTGTCTCATGGAACCTGCAGCGCCGATCCACTTCCTTTGCAGAGTCTGTGGATTCTGTCGGCATTCCTGATAGATTCCTGTGGTAGTTCTTGGAACAAAAGTTCACAATGTGAGTCTCCACGTGCTGCTCTGTCTGTCCAGGTGGGAACTGCAAGTTAGTCCTGCCTCCTATCTGCCATTTTTTTGGTATCATCATTCTTTAATATATTACAATTGAAGGGAACTGGTAAGGAAAACGGAATTTCTCTGCATTATTTCTTACAACTACATGTTAATTACAATTATGTCAAAATAAAATATAATCTAAAAACAAACAGCAAAGTAGGAATAGATAAGAACTTCCAATTTGATTTTAAAAATAGTTCTAGCGCCGGGCGCGGCGGCTCACACCTGTCATCCCAGCTCTTTGGGAGGCCGAGGCGGGTGCATCACGAGGTCGAGAGATCGAGACCATCCTGGTCAACATGGTGAAACCCATGTCTCTACTAAAAGTGCAAAAAACTAGCTGGGCATGGTGGCGCGTGCCTGTAATCCCAGCTACTCAGGAGGCGGAGGCAGGAGAATTGCCTGAGCCCAGGAGGCGGAGGTTGCGGTGAGCCGAGATCGCGCCATTGCACTCCAGCCTGGGTAACAAGAGCGAAACTCCGTCTCAAAAAAAAAAAAAAAAAAAAAGTTCTAAAATACATACAACAAATATTATACTAGACAAGAACCTGCTCTCACCACTTTTATCCAGCACTTTATTAGAGGTTCTAGCCAATGCAATAAAGCAAGATAATGAAATAAAAATTATAAGTTTAGGAAAAGAAGAATTAAAACTGTCAATATTCACAGATGGCTATACATATACAAATTCTAAAAAAAGGAGAGATAATTTTTTAATTAATAGATGCATTTGCAAAGATACTGAATGCAGAGTCAATACATAAAAATCAATTCCATAAGCTAGAAAAAAAATTGAATACATCATTTTCAATATAATCAAATATCATTACATTCTTCAAAGGTTTATGTCACCTCTACAGGTAAAGAATCACAGCCAACTGAGGGACCTGCTGAGGCAAAGGGAATATTGAATGTAGAGTGGAAGATGGTACTTACAAATACTAGCTATGACCACATGACCGGTTACCAAAATAAGAACTGTAATTGTCATATTGAGGGACTGTGTTAAGGAGAATTGCCTGTGTTTCAAAGGCGAGAATTTCCCAGTGCCATACCTCCATCCATGCCTCCACCCGGGAATATAAAGTTATTTGTCTAACTCCCCACCCCCCACCCCCACCCCCACCCCCGTGTGGGCTAGGTAGAAATTCCAGGTGAGCTGCTTTTGTTCAGAAAGCTGCCAAAAGCCCTGGGAGGAGGGGCTCTGTTGTGGGCCCAGGCAACCAATCCTGGATCAGAGTCGAAGAACAATCGCTCCCGAGGAAGTTTGAAAGAACTCCTTTCATTGGACAAGAACATGAATGTGGCAGGAGTAACTCCAGGGTTCAAATCCCCCTGCTCCCTGACATGTAGGGATTTCTCTCTCTGGGATCCCCTCCCATGGCCATGTGGGAGCCGTCACTCCCCTCTCCCTGTACAGATATGCCCTTCATATTCCCCTTCCATGGCAGCATGGGAGCTCTCTCTCTTCTCTCTACCTAATAAATTGCTCTCTGCTAAACTCTTTGAGTCCAATATTTACTTGAAAGGTAAGCTCACCAGGCCACCAGGGCCCTTTCCCCATTCCTGGGGCAAGTGAGCCCAAGAACCTGGACATCTTTGGCGAGCATGGGGAAGGAGCTAAGCCCCGTCTTCCTGCCACCGGTTACAAGATTTCCTCATTTTTATTATAAATGCATTTGTATGTGTGTGTACAAAGCACATATTTTCTTTTTCTTATCACCTTATCATGTAGCATAAGATATGTTGACTTTATATCATAGTATTTAAGTATTATTAATGTTGCATCATAGTGTTTAAGTTATAGGACATCCAGAAGAGTAAACATCAACCAAAGACCTTGTATCTTCTTCTGGGAAAAGGATTGGTGCATTTTCAGTTTTACCCACATAATTTTATACCTCACATTAGGCAGGGGCATAACCTTGTTATTGTCCTTATATGAAGATTAAGTATGGTTTAGGGGGATGGGCATGAGTGCCAAGGTGATAAGGAGTAAGCTTGTGATGGTTAATTTTCTGTATCAAACCTTCTGGGCCACAGTCAAACATTATTGGTCAAACATTATTCTGGATATTTCTACAAGGATATTTGTGGATGAGATCAACATTTAAATTGGTGGATCTTGAATAAAGCAGATTGTTCCCCATAATGTGAGTTGGGTTCGTACAATTAGTTGAAGGCCTTAATAGAAAAAACAACTGACTTCCCCCAAACAAGAGGGAATTCTGTCAGCAGGTAGTCTTCAGACTTCAACTGCAACATGGACTCTTTCTGGCTGTTTGTGGGGCAGATAGAAGAGGGACAATGGGGTAACTGTACTTTCTGCTCAGTAGTTCTGTGAACCTAAAAAATGAAGTTTATTTAAAAGAGAAATAAAGTCTATTTAAAAGAGAAAATAATGTCTTTTTAATATTATGAAGAAACACAATACAGGCTTAGAGGAAGGGAGGCTGGTTAAAAGGTTAATTCATTGGGCGTCCAAGGTGGGTGGATCACAAGGTCAGGAGTTCAAGACCGGCCTGGCCAATATGGTGAATCCCATCTCTACTAAAAATACAAAGATTGGCCAGACATGGTGGCATACACCTGTAGTCTTAGCTACTTAGGAGGCTGAGGCAGGGAGGCGGAGGTTGCACTGAGCCGAGATGGCGCCACTGCACTCCAGCTTGGGCGACAGAGTGAAACAAAATCTATTTTTAAAAAAAGTTAATTCAGTGAAGTAATGAGGGTTTTAGTTGAGATAAGCTCTAAGAAGTTGCTGAATATAGCTCCTAACCTCATTTTGTTTTTTTTTATTTTTGAGACAGATCCTCCCTCTGTTGCCCAGGCTGGAGTACAATGGCAATCTCGGCTTACTGGAACCTCCACCTTTGGAGTTCACGTGATTCTCCTGCCTCAGCCTTCTGAATAGCTGGGATTACAGGCATGTGCCACCATGCCCGGCTAATTTTTGTATTTTTAGTAGAGACAGGGTTTCACCATGTTGGCCAGGCTGGTCTTGAACTCCTGACCTCAAGTGATCCACCCACCTTTGCCTCCCAAAGTGCTGGGAATACAGGTGTGAGCCACCATGCCTGGCATCATCTTAACCTTTTTTTTTTTTTTTTTTTTTTTTTGAGACGGAGTTTCACTCTTGTTACCCAGGCTGGAGTGCAATGGCACGATCTCGGCTCACCACAACCTCCGCCTCCTGGGTTCAAGCAGTTCTCCTGCCTCAGCCTCATGAGTAGCTGGGATTACAGGCACGCACCACCATGCCCAGCTAATTTTTTTGTATCTTTAGTAGAGACGGGGTTTCACCATGTTGACCAGGATGGTCTCGATCTCTTGACCTCGTGATCCACCCACCTCAGCCTCCCAAAGTGCTGGGATTACAGGCTTGAGCCACCGTGCCCGGCTCATCTTAACCTTTCTAATGCTATTTAACTTTCTGCCTTTTAACGGTGAAAAGAAAGATAAATTTAGCCTTATCCTTTTCTGAACCGATGAAAATTAATTTCAAATTGCTGCTCTACTAATTAACAATTTTCAGATATATTTATAATGGAAGCAATGCTACAACTTAAATAGTACAAGTTTGACATGCATTGACTTAAAGCATGGCAATAACTTTTGTTTATCGGTGGATTCCATATTTTTTAAAACTGTGAATAGCTCCACATTACCAATAGTAATGCTAATACCTTGAGACCTAAAAATACAGTAATAAGAAGTTATCTTTATTATTTTTAAAACCATTATTTACAGTCATGTGATTGTATGTGTAAATGTTCCAGAAGAATTACGGGTAGTTTTAGGATTTAAAAATGTATCAGCAAAGATACTGGATGTGAAGTCAATATACAAAAATCAATTCTACATACTGGCAAAAAAAGAAAATATGCCATTTATGGCATAATCAAATAATGTTAAACACGTAGAGATCTATAGCACAAAATGTATGTTCAAGGCCTCCACACAGAAAACTATAAGCATTGTCAGGAAAAAATAAGGATGATCAGGTAAATTAAGGAATAGAACACAAATAGATTTTTAAAATCAGTATTATAAAAATGTCAGGCCGGGCGCGGTGGCTCAAGCCTGTAATCCCAGCACTTTGGGAGGCCGAGGCGGGTGGATCACGAGGTCGAGAGATCGAGACCATCCTGGTCAACATGGTGAAACCCCGTCTCTACTAAAAATACAAAAAATTAGCTGGGCATGGTGGCACGTGCCTGTAATCCCAGCTACTCAGGAGGCTGAGGCAGGAGAATTGCCTGAACCCAGGAGGCGGAGGTTGCGGTGAGCCGAGATGGCGCCATTGCACTCCAGCCTGGGTAACGAGAGTGAAACTCCATCTCAAAAAAAAAATAAAAAAAATAAAATAAAAATGTCAACTTCTGGAATTGACCCCTGAAGCCAATGCAATCCTAGCCAAAATCCTATGTTATTTTTGTTGTTATTAAGAAATAGACAAGCTGATGATATCATTTATATCAAGGCAAGAATAGTCAAGTCACTGTTAAAGGAGAATACCAGAAGAGAATTTGCCCCACTGAGTACTAAGTCCTGTTGCAAAGCTACAGAAATTAAAAGAATATAGTACTGGCACAAAAGCAGATCATCAGACTATTGAAACAGACTGAAAGATGCAGAAACAGACGATGCAATTATGACAAAAGTGTAACTGCAGAAGAATGGGTAAAGACGGTTTCTTTAATAAATAATGCCAGGCCAATGTATTCATTTCCTTTAGCTGTTGTAACAAATAACTACAAACTTATGGCTTAACACAATATCAGTTTGCTATTTTACAGTTAGGTCAGAAGTATAGCAGAGGTCTCACAGGGCTAATACCAAAATGTTGGTAGAGCTGTGTTCTTTGTTGGAGATTTTAGGAGCGAAGTCTTTCCTTGCCATTTCCAACTTCTAAAGACCACTCACATTCCCACCATGTGACACATGACCCTTTTCTCCATCTTCAAAGTAAGCAACGTTACGTCTCTCTATCATTCCCTAGTCACAGTCACCTCCTACTACAGCCTGGAATTGTGCTTCCATTTTAAGGACGCATGTAATTAGATTGGGTCCACTGACATGATCTAAGACAATCTCCTTATCTCGAGATCACATCTGCCAAGTCTTCTTTGCCATGAAGGTAACATATTCACAGTCTCCAGTGATCAGGACATGGACATATTTGTGAGACCATCATTCTGCCTACCAGAGTCAATTATACATTCCTATGTAAAAAATAGGAAACATTTCTCTAGCTCTCACCACACATAAAAATCAGTTCCAGCTGAATTGTAATTCTAACTGTGATAGTTAAAAATAAAGGTTTTGAAAATATAGAAGAATGTCTTTACGATATCGGGGTAGTGAAGAATTTCATAGCCAGAATATAGAAGAAAAAAAAAAAAAACACTCTTAAGATTGAGAAATTGGACTGGGCGCAGTGGCTCATGCCTGTAATTCAAGCACTTTGGAGGCCAAGGTGGGCGGATCACCTGAGGTTGGGATTTCAAGACCAGCCTGACCAACATGGTGAAACCCCATCTTTAAAATAGAAAATAAAAAAAATTGAGAAATTGATCTAGATTTAAATTAATAACTTCTTTTTATTGAAAGATCCTATGAAAAAGTGAAATGCAAGCCACAAAGTGATAGAAGATATGGAGCAAATACCATCCATGAAGGACTGTGTCTAAGTTTGGGATCCCTTGAAAGCAGAGGCTGAGAAAAGGGCTGTGTGCAGGAGCTTCCGAAGATTCTGGCATGCTTATACTTCACAATTAAATTAACAGAAAACAAAGGAGAAAAATATGGTCTTACATGTAAGAGTTCACATTTACTAAACGCTTTCTATGTGCAAAGCTTAGTTCTAAGCATTATTTTGTGCATTAGTTCTCTTAACACTTCAATCAGGCCAAAAAAGTGGGGACACTTACGATTCCTACTGCAGAGGAAGCTGAGTTACAGACCAGTCAGTGTCGTAGAGCTAGTAAGCATGGTTTGTGAAAGCAGGGATTTTTGTCTATTTCATTTGCTCCTACATTCCTTGTGCCCAGAAAATGGC